CCCCTGGTAGAGGCCTGGGGGGCATATGCCTCCCGGATCTGCGCACAGGGTGGAGGCAGCTGCCACTGCGGGCTGGGTTCTGCACCCCGCTGCCACTGCCTCGGGAGTGGTGCAATGCTGTGTGCTTGCTACTGCCAAGTGGGCAGGGGACATGGCACGGTCAGCACGTGGCAGGCACATGGCACCGTGCAGTTCTCAAGGCAGTGGCAGCGGGGCACAGAGCCCAGCCCACAGCGGTAGCTGCCTTCGTCCTGTGTACTGATCCAGGGTGTACTCAGCAGCTGGACTCCCCTGGGCTCTGAGCATCCCACGACCTGCCCTGGCCCTGCCCTGCCTCTGCCCCACTCCCGCCCTCACCCACAGGGGCCTTGATCTGCACCCCCATGCTTCTTTCCCATGACAGACTTAATTGCTGTGGTGGGCAGTGCTCTACACGCTGCCGGGCTGCTGCAAGCTGCGGCTGAACATCTGTCTCTGTACTCGCCTTCCCCTGCCGCTGCCGCTGCTGCTGCCTGCACTCGGGCTGCCCTATGGCCCTCTGCGCTGCCACAGCTGCCCCACGTTTGTGGGGGCTAAACCCTGTTAGCGCCGGCCTTCTGCCGCCTATGTGGTTAGAGGGAGTAGGGTTGCCAACTGTCCATAAATTTACAGACAATCAGTTAAAAAACAAACAAACAAACAGTCTAACAACACCTGTCCATAAAATCTGAAAAAAAATTGAGCTGTTTATAAAAACAGGAAGCAGCTGGAGTCAATTGAAGCTCTGTGGTGGGAAAGCAGCTGGACTCAGTCTTGAAGCACAGACAGAGCATAGTAGCATCACCTGGTATCCAATCAGAAGCACAGCACCCTGAAGGGAGCTCTTCTCAGGGCTATGTAGACCCCTCCCTGAAAGCCATGTGTTGCTGCTAAATCCAATGACCGCCTGTAATGCTGCTGAATTTCAGGTACGTTTCTTTGGGGATCTGTGTTGGGATTCAGGGAGTGGAGCTGACAGCAGTAAGGCTGTAGGGGAAGCATGGTGCAGTGTGAGAGGGTAGGGGAGCCCTGCACTCTAGTTTTCAACAAATTTACTGTTTGCCAAAAAACTCTCTCATCCGACTTCCTGAGCTTCCAAAACTTAAACTCTTTACTTGAACTACCCTGATGGAGATGGAAAGGATGGCATATTAATATTAATCAATGACCAGAACAATTTACACTGTTACCCTTTGACCTTCAGATTGGCTTAGTTGCCTTTCATTTGAATAAAAATAAGCATGCTAAAACTGATCCACTAGGAGTAAGTAATTCCAAAGCACTTCACTAGCCACTACTTACCACATAGACATATGTCACCTGCCAGGTATGGTCCTCCAAAGACAAAAGCAACTTCATCTGCATGGTCAGCTTTCACATATGCGGGTTTAGTATCTCTGTATAAACTTGGACGATGCTGATATTCAAACAAATAAGTTGCAGCACCAGACTCTAACAGAAAATAGTATTAAGAGAAGTCAGTGAAAATGAGTAGTGCAGTAACGGCAACAGAGTTTAGATGTTCAAGATGCCCTCCCTTTAAGAGTGTATTCCTTTACATGAGACCAGACTATATTAGTCTCTACTGCTCTGTGGGAGAATGAGCTTTAATATATGGTACCTCATTCAGTGGGTGTTCTAGCATAAGAAAAATAAAAATTCATAAAAGTAAATCACAGCACATTAGCACATGCTGGAAGATCGTCCAAGCAGCCAAGATCAGAAAGAGAAAAAAGGTTAGTGGTAGCTTTCTCTTTGGTATTTTGGTACACACAGTTTATACAGTGCTGTCCTCAGGCCTGAGCGTGACTGCAATACTCAGCATACAAGGAGGAAGCCAGTACTTATACACACTGAAAGCACTATCTAACCATCCTCAGTAAATCCTCACACAGGCCAAGTTTCTGGACAATACGATCCAGCATCATCTGAGATAGGTTTCAACATGTGATTGTTGCCTATCTAGTCAATCAGAAGCTCACCCCTGTGATAATTTAGTGTTTCCAGAGATGGAATGACAATTGCCGCATCTCCCAACAAGTCCAGAAATCTGTCTCGCAGCTCAGCAGAGTCATCTGTGTCTCCTAGATATTCATTGATTATCACAGGCAAAACTTCAGGTGGGACACTCTGTGAGAAAGAAGAGCAGTGAGAAATGAATGGCAAATAGATCACTGTTTGAAAAGCTGCCGAAAAGGACATTTTTCACTGCAGAGCTACTCACGAGTGAGATTGGACTGAGAAGGAAGGAGAAAGAGGGGAAAAAAAAGCTTTGTTTCAGCCAAATAAGAGTGCAGCCCATTCATAGAAAGGTTTGCTTCATGCAGGCAAAAGGGCTGATGGGAATTCTTGTATCTACAAGCTGTCAGAACAAGAAAAAAGCCCCAGCTGCTTAGGCAAGAAACTGGGATGGGAGCAAGCAGGGAGGGAAGCTCCCACACTCAGGGCCGGCCCGTGCTATACTGTGAAACCTGCTGGCTGCAGGGGGCCCTGCAGCTAAGAGCCCCACTGCGGATAGGCAGTGGAAGTCGGCAGCTAATGGGGCTTAGCCCCCCAAACACAGGGTAGCAGCAGGCATTGCTTTAGGGCAGCTTGGCCGTAGGGTCCAACAGCAGTGGCGGAGGGGCAAGTATGCTAAGCTACCCTGTGCGCTCGCAGCCAGCATCGCAGCTGGCCCAGCTGCAGGCAGGTAAGTTTCTTTTAAATCTGTTTTTTTATTTCCATGGGCTGGGGGGAGGGCAGATAGAGACCCCCACAGTGCAGGAGACTGGGGTAGGGGAAGGACAAATCATTCACCCCTGCCTCTGGCCTGCTCCCTCCTGCACTGTGGGGACTGTCCCACAACCCAGCCTGGCCCCCAGTCACCATGACTGGGGCCCCGGCTCAGCTGGGTCATGGGACAGTCTGAGCCTGGTGGCTCCTCCAGAGGTGCAGTGACAGGCAGCTGAAGGGAGGAGGGCACATGGCCCCTAATCTTTGCACGGGTGAGGGTGGGTCACAACTGCGAGCTGGGCTCAGCCTTTGCTTCATGTCTCCACACCTCGCTGCTACCACTTCGAAAGTGGTGGGCGCTGCCACATGCCTCGCTGCCCAGCGGCGGGACGCATATGGTGGTGCCCGCTGCGTTTGAAGCGGTGGTGGAAAGGCACGGAGACATGGAGCAGAGGCTGAGCTCAGCTCGTAGCTGAGGCTTACCCTCGCCTGTGCAAAGCCTGGGGGGCCACGTGCCCTCCCCCTGCTTGGCTGCCCAGTGCCATGCCTCTGGAGGAGCTGCCGGGCCCTTCCTGGGGATGACGCAGGGTGGGCACAGGGGTCCCGGGGGCTCCATCCCCTCCAGCCCAGCGGTGTAGCTGAGGCTGGCCCCACTCTGGGCCCCAGCTGGGGCAGGGGTGGGGAGGCAGCCAGGGCTGGGAGGCAGCTGAGGCTGATGCAGCCAGCACCCGTGTAGCTGGGAGGCAGCCGGGGCCGGTGGTGTGGCCGGGACTGGAGCGGCCGGAGCCGGGAGGTAGCTGTGGCTGGTGCGGCATCCAGGGCTGGCATGGTTGGGGTTGGGGCTGGAGCTGGGGTGGTGTGGCACCTGGCAATGCTGCTGCTCCCCACCTTGGCCCTTTCCCCTTCCCCCTCAGACTTGCCCCTGGAGGGGGCATGTGTGCATGCACTCTCACCCCCTCCCAGCCCAATTTTGTTTACTTCCTCTGCCTATGGCCCTATGTCCGGCCGCTCACCGTCGCTGGCTTCATGTCCGGCCACTTGCCACCCCTCCACCCCCGCTGCCACCACCACTGGCTTCTTTGGGGCAGGGGGCCCCAAAAATGGGGGGCCGGCCCTGCCCACACTCAAACACATGGGACCTTTTTGAGAGAAACAGTTAAAGCAAATTGACTGCTGATGTAAGTGAGTTTAAACTCTGCAGGAATCAATGCAGTCTGGGTCATGCCAAGCCTCTTTCCTTAGGTAGTTTCATTAAACCACCAAAGAAGTCAAGGAAGGGAGAGTGCAGGAAAAGACCAATGGGGTGCAAGAACCTGCCCCTCTCCCAAAACATCTCTCAAGCCTTGGCTGTTTGTTGCCTGAATACATCTAAAAGCCCAGAATTTCCATAATGGTTTATATACAAGTTACTGTTTAAGATACTGATTTACTACAAACAGAAAACAGAAAATAGTTCCTGTCCTGACAAGCTTCAGCAGATATTATTGCTGGACTATGCCCTCTGAGGTTGTGTGCCTTTGCCTACCCAGTTCCCTGTCCCAGGGACTTCACTGCTATTGCTCCTGGAGCATAAGCTTGGGCCCATGCTCAAGACTGCACAAAATCATGTGCTGAGGTGGCAGGACTATAAGCCAGAGCATGAGAATGCAAGACTGAAGAAGAAATGTGCTACAGGCGAAAAGATAAATTGATTTTGGAGCTTAGATTAATCTCATGGCCTCTTACCAACCATGGCTGGATAAACTTGATTGTTGAGATGATTGATGCTCTATTGCCCACTTCTTTCAGGCCAGGAATGTTGGATGACTGCACAGAGAGACAGACACGGGTTATTCTACCCAATGGATGTCTGAGCAGATTCAATACTGGATCTTATTATATTCCAACTTTTTGTTCGCTATTGTTTGTTTTGCACACTCACAAATCAAAGATTAACAATTTTGAAGGACTCCAAGTGAGGTTTGTCCTTCAGTAACTCCAGACGCTTCCCCAGCTGGCTATTCAAACTAGACTGTTGCATCTAAGAAAGTCCCATCAGCAAATCTCTCACCCCCATCCTCACTTATTAATGCAGAAAAATCAACTTTTATGATGATCTTACAGCGCGCACATTCCATCCAAATTCATTGTTAGTTACTCCAATCATATATGGGACAGCATTGAACTCTTTTCTGGCCAGAAGCTCCTTGGGTGACTTGTGAAGCAATACGCCATCCACAACTAAAGGTATCATTGGAACTTCCTGAAGGGAAAAAAAACCCATCATTTGTTGGTTATATTTTACTTTCTTCTCTAATACAGAAAAATATCTAGTCTCTATGCCCACTCTAACTGCCCAATGGGGTTCAAGATGTTAGAGATCTCTGTGAAATCTGTGCACCAGGTTGGAACATGTTTTTTGGTACAACAGCTTCTGATTGTTGGCTTGAGTCATAATTATCTGTCTATTGTGAAAACAGGCTGCAAGTTTTACAGCTTTTAAATTAATCTCTGAGACAATTAGTGCTGGCTCGAGTTGGTACTGGTGCATGCCCACACCTGGGCTTCACCTGAAGCTATGCTGGCCCTGGTTGGCTGATGCAAAAAATAAAAAAATATTGCGAGACTCTGTTTGAGTGACTCTGTGCATGTTATTTCTCTGGAATTGGACTTTTAGGTTAAAGTTAAACCATCATTAAAAAAAAAAAAGCTTTAGAAAAATTTCAGCCAGGTTCAAACAAGCCCAAGTGCATATTCTACACAGAGACAGAGCAGCTTCTACTGCCATATTGCATTTTGTTACCAGGGAGAGTTTCACCTACCTGTCCCAGACTACTGTTGAAGACCATCTCCTCCTCTGTCTTCTGCCTTAAGCAGTGAACAATGGCAACTGAACCGGTTGTCTCACAGGCATATAACTTGGCCGCTTTCTGTACGTGATTTACAAAGACAAGGATTGGCGCTGTTTGGAAGGCAGTCATAGAGAGTTTATATATAACCCCTTCACAGCACACATGCATACTACTCTTAGCGGTGTGGTGCTAGCCCATGCTATAGAAAGAACATCATGGTAACAATATGAATCAAACACAACGAGAAAACTCAAACAAGGAGAATGAAAGGTGTATATGGAGAGAGATTTTAATTCCATGATGAACTTCACTTGACAGTATTGATGCTAAGACATTGTTATTGGATTATGTCTTGGCCTCTTTGCTCATATTGAAAACATGTACAATGTGAGGATTCTGATCTCATATCCAGTTTCAAGATGTTTTGTTAAATTAATTACTGCGGCAGTGTGTGGAGGAGCAGACGCATGACAAGCTAGTACCCCAGCACTCAGAGAAACTCAAAACCTCCTGAAGATGTTAGAATCTCCAGTTAGTGTTAAACCTGGTTTCATTGCAAAATGGAAGAGCAAGAAAACAATTACCAGTACTTTCAAAAGCTCAGCACACATTTGCTTTGGTTTGGGGTTAGTGTAGATTAACCTTATTGGATGAAATGCAATTTAAACAGTATCTTTCTTTTTATTTTAACCCAAACATTAAGCATAGCATTTTTTTTGTTTTGTATTCTGAACAATTGAACACACACACAAAAGAACTGACCTGAGCAACGACTTCAACAGAAGGTAAGGTTGCAGAAACAAGGTGTGCAGTCCCACTCTCTGATATGGCCTTATGGAATAAGCCTTTGGACAAGGGAGACAAAACCTACCAGAAAAGGAAGCAAAGAGAACGCTAAGGGTACATTAAAGCCATAATCCTGTCACTCTGTGCACAGATAGGTACACTGTATTCCACAAGAAAGGTAAACACATGCTTCATTTTTTAAGGATTAGGGTCTATGTTTGCAGACATTGTGCAATGTACCAATCCCGTTTACTTTGTAAATGAGATTTCAGAAGTCCCACACTGAATGGTTGGGGTTTGCTTTTAAAAATTAAGTTTGTGTATTTATTGTAAGCCTACTAGTGCGGAAACAGAGACTGAGCCTGCAGACACGCCAAATATAGTAACAGATCCTGGATTGCCTCCAAAATGCTCAATATTTTTCTGAATCCACTGGAGAGCTGCTATTTGATCCAAATATGCCCAGTTTCCACGAGCATGTTCATCACCGGTACTGAAAGAAAGTCAGCAGATAGGAAATTCTCAGTTAGCACATTAGCCTTTTCTCACCATAACTATAAAGGGAATATGGATGTCATCAAGGTGCAACTATCACTTTGCTTTTACAGTGCTGTAAGACATACTAAGACCCTTCATAAAACTGGAGCACCCCAAAAATTGATGTCACCCAAAAAACAGTGATCCCAGGCAAGACACAAGAGTGGAGGGGAATCCCTGAATGTTGTTTTAAAAAGGCTAGTGTGGCTGTGAAAGATGCAGAAAGACCAAAGAAGCAATGAGAGAAGGCTGCAGGGACCCAGCTGACATCCCAGCAGAACTGCTCATATGGTCCTGCTAAAAAAGATAAAGGTCAGAGCTTTTGAACTGAGTGCTGGTGAAAGAGGCTGGGAACTGCAGGCACATGAGTTGTTCTCTCATGCTTG